GTAGGTTTTTAATGAAAATAATTACAAATTGACCCTTAAATTGATAAATATTTATCAAAATATTTAATTTGTAATTTTTAACATGTTTACATATACTTGTCACCATGTATTACATAATAGTCTATGTAGTTCAGAACATATTTCAACATATCAAAATATCTATGTCACCATGTATTACGTAATAAATTGTGTAGTTCAGAATATATTTCTATACTTGGAATGGTTTGCAACATATTGGTCAATACTTGCTGTACCTAAAAATGATTTTTCTTTTACAAAATTTACATGTATAATTAAATGCAATTACATGTTTAAATTTCTGTATGGGGTTTGGAAGAAAACATTTATGAAATTTTAAAAAGCAATTAACATTTCTAAACTGCTAGATATCTAAATATATTCTGTATATATACGTAAAATTAGACTAGATATCTAAAAAGTTATTCATTTTGGTTACACAAAATTTAGGCTTGATAGATACATTAGTACGCAGAATTATCATGATTTCATTTATTTTGGTAGCTAAAACAAAAACTGAAATAGTAAATTATTACATCTTTTTTTTTATAACCCACAAATCTACCTACCAGAAACATTCATATATAATAGTCTTTTATTAAACTTTTAGTACATCTCTTTTTTTAAGAGAAAATTAAACATAATAACTCTTATTTCTTCATATATTATTAGATTAACACCCATTCAAAAATACTTAATAAAAAACATGTAAAGTCAGTTAGCCCATCATAGTTTATTTAATAACAGTAATGTCATTCTATTCTAATAATTAAAAAAAATTAATAAATTAACAATCAAGAGTTAAAAGTCTTTTTCTTATCAACAAAACTTCTTCTTATTTTTCTTTTTTTCTCTCGACAAACCCAAACCATCACTGCTCACACTCATCAGCCTCCATTATCAACTAATTTGTTCCCTATTAATTCAGAAATTAGTTACTTTTATATTCTTTTGATTTGTTTAAATCTTAAATATCAATTGTCTCCATAAAGCATTTTCTGGGTTTGGGAAACCCTAAATCTCTCAAAAAAGGGAAAACGCTGGTGGTGGAATTCGACGAGCTCCACTGTCTCTTGTTACGCTTCTGGTTTCGACAAGTTTCCGC